TGTCTCGGGAGGCGTGAAGCCGAGGGCCGAGGAGCACAACGCAGGCGGGGTGACCGCGCAGGTGTGTCTCGGGAGGCGCAAAGCCGAGGGCCGAGGAGCACAACACAGGCGGGGTGACCGCGTAGGTGTGTTTCGGGAGGCGCGAAGCCGAGAACCGAGGAGCACAACACGGGCGGGGTGACCGCGCAGGTGTGTCTCGGGAGGCGAAGCCGAGGGCCGAGGAGCACAACACAGGCGGGGTGACCGCGCAGGTGTGTTTCGGGAGGCGCGAAGCCGAGGGTCGAGGAGCACAACGCGGCGGGGTGACCGCGCAGGTGTGTCTCGGGAGGCGCGAAGCCGAGGGCCCCATTTTTTGAATTTGGCGGCGGTGTGGTTGGAAAGTTTACCGCATTTAATTTTATGCTCCGAGGTTGAGGCGTTCGGCTACTGCCGCTTTCACGGTCGTCGCCACGTCAAGCCTTCATTAAGGCGGGACGCCTTTGGGTGTCTTCCGATGCGACGCGACGGCTGTGCGTGTGCGCGGGTGAGCTGTTGCCTGCGCTTGGGAGACGAAGGGGCCCTGGCAGTGGCGGGGTGTCGTCTTCAAATAGCGAACGCCAGGATCTTCCTCCATCTTTCGCTGCAGTGTTTTCTCCTTCGAGCTCCGTCGTTGCCTCCCCAGTTTTCTCCCTCACCCCCCTGCGTCGTCTTTCCCTCTTCCTAAGGTCAGTTGAGATGTCGTCCTCTTCCTCTTTTTCTTCTTCCCCTTCATCTTCTTCGCCTTCCCCTGTTCTCGGGGCTGAGGAGGGGAACCTCCCTTCGTCTCGCGTCGAATCTTCGGACGAGGAGGTGGCACGAGCCCTCGAGGCTTTGATGTGGCCACATGACCTGGACTCCGTTGTGGGTGGGTCTTTGCTGGAGGAGCTCCGAGGGCGCTACAGTATCCCGGAGGATCACATCCTCAGTGCTCCCGAGCCGGGGCAGCGGGCGTATGATCCGGTTCCGAAGGGCTTCGCCCTGTCCCTTGATGCCTTGGAGGCGGGTCTACGCTTCCCTCTCCATCCCCTCATCGTCTCTTGCCTGTCCTTTTGGCGGATTTCCCCGTCTTAAGTGGCACCAAATTCCTGGCGTTACTTGGTGGCATTCCTGGGGGAATGTCACTACGCCGACATCACCCCTTCCCTCGACCTCTTTCTTTCTTGTTACCGTCTTTGCAAGGGTTCGGGTGGCTACTTCTTATTGGCTCGATCGGGTTTTCGCGTCGGCAGGGCCCCTTCCAGTAACAAGGGGTGGAAGGGGCGGTTTTTCTATATTAGCCGTGTACAGGATTGGGGTTTCGGGGTTCGATGGTCCGCAAGGACGATCGATAACACCACCCCCCGTCTGGGTGGCGCAGAGCGCCGAGCGCTGGGGAGGCTCAGAGAGATCCTCCCTAGGTCGCAGGCCATCCGGACCATGACCGAACAGTGGCTGGTTGAGGCGGGCCTCAGCCCGATGCCTCTGGGTACGTTTTAACGATATCTGGTCTGGGTTTTGCGTAGTTGCTTTTTGATACTGACCCATTCCGTCCCTTGCAGAGATGGTGAATCTCCATTCGTTTTTGGATGTTCCGGCGCCGCCACCCCCTGCCCCTACTCTACCGGCCGACCCGGAGCCCTCTCCCCCAGTTCTGCCGGCCGACCCGGAGCCCGGCACGGAGGAGGCTCTGTTGGAAGTCGAGGCTGAGCGCCCTTCGAAGAGGGCGAAGACGACCCCGTTGAGGGGTCCCGAGGCGGACCGTCGTCGCGGCGGGGCCGGTCCTAGCCGACGGACAACTGGGAAGGGCCCGCGCCCCGTCTCTGTGCGCGACCTGTGTCGTCTCCCAGCCGGAGATGGGGGACCGTTCCTGACGCAGCTGGCGAGCGAGATCCCGCTCGCTGAGTCTAGCGAGCCCCTGGTGGCGCGTTGGGAAGGCCTGACCCGAGGAGATAGGGTATGGGCCGGAGGGGATCTCTCCGCGGCGTTCCTCCGAGGCGCGCTCCATCCCGACATGGCTCGGGATGTGTACACCCTTCCTTCGGATGCGCTGCTCCACAAGTCTGCTCAGTCGTTGACCTGGGTACGTATGTTCCTGTCTTTGGGTTTGTGCGTCCAACGCCGATCTTCTTGACCTGATATTCCTCGTGCAGGGCCTCCATTATGCAACGGCCCTAATGGACAGGGTGCGCGACGCCGGTCGGGTCGTCGGGGGCCTTGCCAGCCGCAATGCCGAGCTCCTCCGCCAGATCGAGGAGGTTCGAGCTGGGTCCGGTCCGGAGGCCGTGGCGGCCGCTGAGCAGCGGGCGGCCAAACTGGAAGCGGAGGTGGTGCGTCTCCGGTCGGAGCTCGAGGCCTCCGAGAAGGCGAACGAGGGGCTCCAGAAAATAATGAGGGTGGAGCGGACCGAGCTCCGTCTGGTGAAGGCGGATGCGAGCTCCCTCAGCAAAAAGCTGGAGGAGGCGAAGGCCGAGGCTACAACGGCCTCGGAAGCGCTGGCGGAGGAGGCTCATCTTCGTCCTGTAAGGGACAAGGAGCTCCTCGAGACGTACAAGAGGTCGAAGGGGTTTGAGCTCGGGTTGACACGGACGGGGCGGGTATCCTTCGAGTACGGGTACCGAATCGCCATGTCCCGTTTCCATGCTCGCCACCCTGGTCTCGAGGTGGAGGAGAACCCTTTCACTCCCCACCCTGAGGACCAAGGGGTGGACATGCCCGAGGAGGTCCCCTTCGATGACCGTCTGGAGGAGTCCTTGTAAGGGGTCCTGTATTTTGTCAGTCTGGTCTTTGTAAGTCGGGTCCTGTATTTCGCTTTGCCATTTTTAATAAGAGGAAGGAACTTTCAACTTTGTTGTCCCCTCTCTTCTTTTCCTAGGCGAGAGCTTGCTTCTTCCTTCGGGAGGGGGTCTTTTCTTTGAAAAAGGGCTTGTTTCAGACGAAAAACTTTTTGAGGTTTCCGACGTTCCAGGTTCTTGGCAAAGGAGATCCGTCCATCGATGCGAGTCGGTAAGTACCCGGTCGGGATACCTTGACGACCCGATACGGTCCTTCCCATTTGGGGGCTAGCTTCCCCCTGGTTTGGGATGGGTAGCTGACCTCGGCCTTCCGGAGGACCAAATCGCTTAACTTTATCGGTCGAGGTTGTATTTTTTTGTTGTAGATCCTGGCTACGGCTCTCTGGTGAGAGAGGGCTTTTAAGTGCGCGTCGGCGCGTCGCTCCTCGAGCACATCGAGGCTGGCGCGTAGCCCTTCGTTCGAGGCTTCCTCATCGTAGCTACTCGTCCGAAGGGTGGTGACAGCTACTTCGGGCGGCAGGACAGCTTCGGTCCCGAATGTCAAGCTGTATGGGGATTCTCCAGTCGCGGTCTTGGGAGTGGTGCGTAGCGACCACAACACGCTGGGGAGCTCGTCCGTCCAGGCCGATCGGGCTGCTGACACTCTTCTTTTGAGGCCGTCTAAAATGGACCGGTTGGTCGCCTCCGCCAGCCCGTTTGTCTGAGGGTGGGCCACCGAATTGAACCTCAGTTGGATGCCATGTCCGGCGCAGAATTCTCGGAACCCTCTACCGGCGAACTGAGGTCCATTGTCGGTGATAATGGCCTTGGGCAACCCGAATCGAGTTACCAGGTTCTTCCACATGAACTTCTCCATTTGGCGTTCCGTGATCGTCGCCAGCGGCTCGGCCTCGACCCATTTTGTGAAGTAGTCTACTCCTACAATTATATACTTCCGCTGTCCAGAAGTCGGCGGGAAGGGTCCGAGAAGGTCCAGCCCCCACTGCGCGAACGGCCACGCGCAGTCGATGGGGCTAAGCGGGACTGCGGGTCGTAGGGGTGCGCGGGCGTGTTGCTGGCATGAGCTGCACCGTTGTGCGTAGGCTTTCGCGTCGCGGCACATGGTTGGCCAGTAGTAGCCTTGGCGGAGTATTTTGTGTGCCAAGGTTCTCCCGCTAATGTGCCCGCCGCAGACCCCGTCGTGGGTTTCGGCGAGGACCGTTCGGGCTTCACCAGGCTCCAGGCATCGCAGGAGGGGATAGGTGAAGGACCGTTTATAAAGGTGGCCGCTCTCCTCAGTGTACCACGCGTGCATGCGACGCAGGCGCCGAGCCGCGCCTTCGTCGGGGGGAAGGGTTCCATCCCGTTTGAAACGCAGCAGCAGCTCTTGCACCCAGGTGATCGGCGTGCTGCCCGGGGCCATAGTTGCTATTTCGATGGCGCGGGCAGGGAGCTCCTCGACCTCCACCCCTGCTTCAGTGGTTGGTCTCGACGCCATCTTGGCCAGCGCGTCGGCTCGCCCGTTTTCCTCCCTCGGAACGCTAGACAGCGTAAAGTAATGGAACTTGGCGGCTAGGTCCCTTACCCGGGTTAGGTATTTTGCCATGGTTGCGTCTCTAGCCTCGTATCCACCGTTGAGCTGCTCGGCTACCAGTTGCGAGTCGGTGTGGACGCGTATCGCGGCCGCCTGTTTTTCGAGGGCCAACCTCAGCCCCGCCAAGAGCGCCTCGTACTCCGCCTCGTTGCTGGTGGCTTTAAACCCGAAATGGAAGGAGCGTTCGAACGAACGTCCGTCGGGGGCGAGGAGAACCAGACCCGCACCTGCGCCCTTCGGGTTGGCCGAGCCGTCGACGTGTAGGGTCCAAGCCTCGGGAGACTGCTCGAGATTCACACCTCCCACTTGAGTCAGCTCCGCGATGAAGTCGGCCACTGCCTGGGCCTTGATGGTAGTCCTGGGCAGGTATCTTATGTCGTGCTCACCGAGCTCCACCGCCCATTTGTGGAGCCGTCCTGCAACATCAAATTTGGTCAAGACCTGCCGGAGAGGTTGGTCGGTGATGACTTCCACCGGGTGCGCCTGGAAGTAGGGGCGCAACTTCCGAGCGGAGAGCACTAGGGCAAGCGCGAGTTTTTCTATCGGTGGGTAACGCTCCTCAGGTCCACTCAGGACGTGGCTGACATAGTAGATCGGGAGCTGCCGGCCGGAGCTTTCCTTGACCAGGACTGAGCTGACAGCGTGCGGGGAGGCCGCTAAGTAGAGGCCCAGCTTCTCGCCGGGGGAGATGGAGGCGAGCCGAGGGAGGCTGGCCAGGTGCTGCTTCATCTGTTTGAGGGCTTCCTCGCATTCTGATGTCCACTGAAAGTTCTTCGGGTCTTTGAGCGCCTTGAAGAATGGGAGGCAGCGGTCGCCTGACCGGGCGAGGAAGCGAGACAGAGCGACCAGCCTGCCGTTAAGCCGCTGCAAGTCTTTAACCGTCCCGGGGGACTGCATATTGATTATTGCCTGAGCCTTTTTCGGGTCGGCGTCGATTCCTCTCTGGTGTACAATGAACCCTAGGAACTTCCCGGAGGTGACGCCGAAGGCGCACTTTGCGGGGTTGAGCCGCATGCCGAACTTGCGCAGCGTGGCGAAGGCCTCAGCTAGGTCGGCTAGATGCGTCCCGGCCTCTCGGCTTTTGACAATCATGTCGTCCACGTAGACCTCCATGTTCCTCCCGATCTGGTGGGCGAACATCTTGTTCACCGTTCTCTGGTATGTGGCCCCCGCATTCTTTAGCCCGAATGGCATGACTTTGTAGAAATATACCCCTTGATCGGTTATGAAGGTCGTGTGCTCTCTGTCTTCGGGCGCCATCCTGATCTGGTTGTATCCCGAGTAGGCGTCCATAAAAGAGAGTCGCGCGTGACCGACCGTCGCGTCGACCAGCTGGTCGATCTTTGGGAGAGGGTAGCAGTCTTTGGGGCATGCATTGTTGAGACTGGTGTAGTTAACGCACATCCTCCAGCTTCCATTGTGTTTTTTCACGAGGACTACATTGGACAACCATCGAGGATACTTGGCTTCTTCTATGAAGCCTGCGGCCAAGAGTCGATTCACCTCCTCCCGTATGGCGCGTTGTCGGTCCGGGGCCTGGCGCCGGGGCTTCTGTTTTACTGGCCGAGCGTCAGGCGGGATGTTGAGATGATGTTCCGCGACGCCTGGATCGACACCCGTCATGTCTGATGGGGACCAGGCGAAGACGTCGGCATTTTTTCGTAGGAGGCCGACGAGTCGCTCCCGTTCCTACTCGGGTAGCTCGGATCCGATCTTGACCGTTTGGTCTGGTCGAGCTTTCCGCAAGGGAACGTCCACCGTGGATCCCTTCGGCTCGGGATGAGGAGCCAACTTTTTCGTTTCCCGCGGGTCTTCCAGGGATGCCTCGGCTCCGCGTCTCTTGCCCAACGCGACGGAGGTGAGGTAGCATCGCTTGGACTCTCGGGGGCTTCCCGCGACTTCCCCGACGCCAGTGCTGGTTGGGAACTTGATGGTCTGGTAGTAGGTCGAGACGACGGCTCTGACCTTATTGAGGGTCGGCCGACCCAGTATGGCATTGTAGGCAGTGGGAAGGTCAACTACCAGGAAAGTGGTCATTACCGTTTTTGACCTTAGTGGGGTCCCCAGGGTCAAGGGCAAGGTGATAGCTCCCAGGGGTGACACCGAATCTCCCGTGAAACCGGTGAGCGCCGAGCACATTGGGCTTAGACTTTCCCTGGCCAAGCCCAGCTTCTGGAAGGCACCGAAGTAGAGTATGTCAGCTGAGCTCCCGGTGTCGACCATAATCCTCTTCATTTGCGCGTTGGCTACCCTGGCTGATATTACCAAGGCGTCGTCGTGGTCGGGCCGCTCAGTGGCTCCGGTTGGGAAAGTAATCTCGGGCTCGAGCTCGTGTCCCGAGTCTTCGGCGGGGGCGGCCCGGGCGTATGCCTTGCTTCCCGACATGGAACCCCCTCCTGATGCGGGACCCCCGACTATCACGTCAATGTGTCGCTCGACGGGGCCCTCTAGGCGAGGTGATTGTTCTTTATTCGGCCGGAGGTACTGGCCGAGATGACCTCTGAGGATGAGCTCCTCGATTTGTTTCTTCAATTCGTAGCACTGTTCAGTGTCGTGCCCGTGTTGCCGATGGAACCGGCAATACTTTGAACGGTCTGCGAGTTCCCGCGGGTTCCTCATCGGGTGAGGGTCCTTGAGCAGCCCTTTTCCCTTTTCGTGCAGAAATATTTCAGTCCGGGAAGAATTCAAGGCGGGGAGAGGAGGCCTTAGGTCAGGTCTGTCCAACTTCCGCCGGGAGGTGGCGGGCGGCTGCTGTCGGGGTGGTTCTGACTTGACCTTTTTGTGTTCCTCCCGCTTTCCCGTCATCCAGGCCTCCGCGGCTATAAACTGGCCAGCCCGTTGGAGCATTTCGGGGACCGCGACGGGGGGCCGCTCCACGAGTGACCAGAAGAATCTGGTAGGCCGTAGGCCAGTAATGAATGCCTGCATCAAGAGAGAGGGGTGAGCATCCGATAATCCGCGGATTTGCGACGTAAACCGGTTTACAAAATGGGAGAGGGGTTCATCCTCCTTTTGGCTGAGCCCCAGGAGCAACGCCATGGACGGCTTTGGCCGGGCGTACGCCAGGAAGTTAAGCTCGAAATCTTTGGCGAGTTGGTCGAAGGAGGCAACGGTCCCTGGTTTCAAGCCACTGTACCACATACGGGCCGACCCCCGTAAGGTTGTGGGGAACGCCCTGCACATTAGGGCGTCGGAAGTCCCGAACAGCGCCATCTGGGTGCGAAAGGCGGCCACGTGGTCCGCCGGGTCGGTGGCACCGTCATACGCGTCTAGGGCGGGGAGGCGGAAGTGTGACGGGATCGCCTGATCTTGTATTTCGGGAGTGAACGGGGACCCTTGGCGCCCCTCTGCCCCGGATTCTTCCTTCGACTTACGTACTTCTTGTTGTACCTCGTCGAGCCTTTGGCTGACGAGGCGTAACTGAGCCCGCAGGGCATTTGTCGAGTCGGCGATAGGGGCCTCGGGCTCGGGGCGACTAGCCGTGTCTTCTGCCTCCCGGCTCCCGGGCCGAGTTGCGGGGTTTCGGGGTGAGCCCGGAAGCTCTGGGAGCGGCACGTGGGTTTGGGCAGGGGTCTCTCGTTGCTGCGAAGGTCGCGTCGCAGGCGGCGGGGTTCGTTGGGAGACGATGGTCTGCACCACGCTCGTCAAAGCTCGGACCTGGTGGGCGAGGTCATGAAAGGCCTCGGGTGATACTTGTGATGGGTCGGCGGGCGCCTCGCCGGGGGGCGACAAGCCCGGGTCATTGAACAGTTGCCAGTAGCGTTCCGCTACTGCTGTGGGGCGCTCGTCGCGGGTTTCGTTGCACGGGGGATGCTCCCCTAAGGCGGGGGGCTCAGCACCCGAGGATCCGCCGAGGTGGACTTGCTGATCGCCTGTCATTTGCCCGGAGCCCTCCTTCTAGCGCCAATCTGTTACGGTAAGTAACTTTTTAGGGCGTGACCTCGGGATGTACGCGGCTGGTTCGGGAGCTCCGGATGACGGGGATCAGACGTGGCGCCCCTTCGGTCCTGGAGGTTGCTGA